GTAAAACTACCTGGGTCATTAAGTTTTTGAGTAAGCATCTTCTGAATGATTGCATTATACTCCTCACTAAGTGCAACAGTCTCAAAATCTCCTAACTTTCTTTTATTGTTTAAAATATCCTTCATAAACTTCACATAACTAGGCATTTGTTCTAAAGTTTTGGCAAAGAGAATGTTGATAGTTGCTTCTTAAACACCTCTAGAAATCTGGAGAGTTTTGATTCAGTCTGTATTTTTGAAGCATTTGAGGAAACGATGGAGGTAATCATTATGGGTCAATCCTAGGAGGCGAGTTAAATCTTCCTAAGTTCTGGGTAGGTTTTTCACTAAGTTTTTCATATTTTGGATTGACTTCTACTATGACCTCCCTGCTATTCGCTTCTAATTCTCTCTCATTTCTCAACTTAATAGCCTTGATCTGCTCATTTGCTTTCTCCTTGAGGTTAATTTCGATGGTGCTAGAAAGAGTTCCCTGATATCTATTACTTAGAGAATTTGTTATCTAGCCTAGTTGGTTATCTATGTTCCTAATAGCTGTAACTTGACTTTGTAGTTGATTCCCCATTTGCAACACTACTTCTTCTAATGACAGTTTCTTATCTTTAAATTGAGAGTTTGAATTAAATCCTAGAGGGTTAGTCTGTCTTGGGCTTCCATTACCGTGGTCACTCCAACTCTCTACTGAATTAGCTTGACTGTTTCCACATTACTGGTTTCCTACACCTGGGTTATTATTGTTCAAGTTAAAGTTTGGGTGATTTTTCCAACCAGGGTAATAGGTATTGTAGTATGGGTTATTAAACCTATTATTTATGACAGTTATAGTCTCGATGGGAAATGTATTATGATCTACCAGCTCCATAAGCATTCTATTCTATGACTGGCGATCCTTGTGTTAGATTCAATCCTAATTGATTTAGCTTCCCAAAGATAGCCACTATTTGAGATGTCAAGATTGATAAAGTGTCTATGTCATCAACACGGCTACCTTCCTATGGTTCACTCTATCATAAGGTCATTGGAGGTTATTAGTCATCATCTGTTAGATCAATGAATAGGTCGCTTCAAAGGGTTTAGACATAAGGGAATCTCCTGTTGCAACATCTATGACCTACCTAAGGAATCCTACTGTCTGAATGATCAACCAATCTGGTAGTTCTTGGAGAGGACACTTCTTAAGAAGCTCCTTAAATCTTTCTCAAGCTTTGTAAATAGATTCCCCACCAAATTGACTAAAAAAGGTAATGTCATTCCTAAGTTTGGTCGTTTTGAGTGATGAGAAGTATTTAGCTAAGATTCTATGGACCAGTTAATTCTAGGTCCTGATAGACCCAAGAGCTAGAAAACTAAGCCACATTTTAACTTTATCCCTCAGGGAGAAAGGGAACCTAAGTCTAACGACGTCGTTGGAAACACCTTTATAGCAAAGTGTGGCATAAAGTTCTAAAAAGCTCGCTACATAAATTAGGGTCTTATGATGGTGTCCTCCTAAATTGATTATTTTGCACAATCAGGATGATGGTGGGTTTCAGTTCAAACAAGTTCACTTCGACGGCAGAGGTATTGATACTTAAGTAGATTTCATCTATCATAGAGTTTGTAAATTTCTTAAGAGGTCTATTCATTTCATTGGGTATGTGAGACAATGGGTTTCTCCTGAGGTATGTGTGCTATCTCTCCTAATTCTTTTTGAAGTCTTTTAAATTTTCTAATTTTTTTTACGATTCTTTCTAACTCTAGATTGTATGGTTCAAGGTCTGAAGGCCCAGCAGTACGCATACACTATTGGGGTGAACTAACTAAACAACCTTAAGCTAACAAGATGCAACAATGTTCAAGTAAATAAAAACAACAAACAAAAATACTAAGTAAACACAAATGCAAAAACAAACAACAAACAATTAACACGAGTTTTGCAGTAAGTATAAAGCAAGATACAAGTGCATAGATTAAACAGTAGGACTAACAAGATATTTTGGTATTTTTATTTATAAGTACAAAAAAAATTACAAAACAAGTTGATGATGTAACACAATGGTTTTCAAGTCGAGACCCTAAAAGTTCAACTAAAATTCTCCTAAATTGGAATTCACCGTCGTTCTCCGACAACGATGTCAAACCTTGATAAGAACCCAGTGCGGCAAAGCATTAGCGACACGCGCAAGTATACATATCGTATCAGTAATATCCAGAATAGAATTCCGAGTATCGATCCCACAAGAAGCGAGATGAATCCTAAAATAAATACTTCTAGTTTACTATTGTCGGTCCTAGCCTGAATGGTTCAACTTGTTGATGTTGAGGAAATGTTTTACCCTATTTCAATTTTAAAATAAGTCTATTCTAACAAGCCAAAGGAAGTTTTTAAGAAATCAAGTTTTGAAAAGTTTCCCCCTTGAATTGTTCTAATGGAAAAAAAAATTGAAATAATGATTACAACTTAGTATCAAACAGCAGCTATCATTTTCCTTATCCCCATCCGAAAGTCTAAGAAAATTCAGATATCAAGAATTTTGTTCCCTAAATCTTGACCAGCCTCATAAAATACCAATCCTTAAATTTTAGCATAACTCAAAGGTAATATCCTTATTCCAATGAATTTATGTGACTAACATCTTTTGTTCCACTAAGTATCCTTCTGGATCTCAAAGTTCATGAAGGATGTTAACATTCCTATTGTCCAGATAGAAAGTAAATGAGACAAATTGGTTAAATCAACACTATTATAGCAATTCACATGAGAATCACATAGATAGTTTCAATTCTATTCTATCACTATTCAATTCAAAAAAGAAATAAAAGATCTACTAACTCTTCATTATAAAAAACCATCACATCAAACTTTAAATTAAATATGGAAATCATACATCAAGTTTTCACAGATATTCAAATGAAAATTCAAACTAGAATGTACTTATCTCCATATTTTACAAAGTATGATGAAAGAATCGAAAACAAGCAGTGAATACACCTCTAGATCCTCTCGAATGTTCACTTCAAAACTCCTTATAAAGCCTCTTTGTTCTTCCTCTTCAATGCTCCATGCTTCAAATGCAGAGAAAGACCATTCTTACTTTGTTTCCAGCATTTTTATACTTCCCCTTGGCGAAGATATGCATCCCAACTGCAGAAACTACCAGTCTGCATAAACTAGTGCCTAGGCGCCGCAGACTAACGACTAGGTGTTGGTCATGGAATCTAGAACTAGAGTATCGAGCGCCTAGGCTCTAGGCGCTGCAGGTGTAGCGCCTACTCGTTGCAATCACAGTGTCTACATTCCAAGCTCTCTGTATTCTGAACAATTTCTAGTCGGCATCGGCCCCAAGGTGCCCAGAGGCAGTGCCTACTTTCCAGCTGCTTGGTCTCGTGCTCGGATCTGCTTCGGGAGCCTAGGTGCCTAGTCCTGACGCCTAGGCATTGGTAAGCTGGCACCTACTTTCTATGCTCCCGATGCCTACTTTCCAACCTCTCTATTTTGTGGGCGAAAATCCCAGGAGACTGACCTGCTTCGAGTGCCTAGGCTCTTAGTCCTGATGCCTAGGTGTCGATCAGCTACTTTACTCAATTTAACAATGTTTCAAGCTTCGATCGACCTCCTTCGCTATATCCCGCATAACAACACTAAAAACATTCCCACAATAGTAAAATAAGCATATAAAATGATAGAAATACAGCAGCAATTGAACAAAACTCTCATGCACATCAGCATAGCAACAATAGCTTCTTATGTACCGGGTAGCGACAGAGCACCAATAATTTCTTGTGTGGCACCATTGGTCGGCGGGTCTCTTGCCATAGTGGAAGTTTGATCTGATGGATCGATGGTTGGGATGGTCGCCTAAGCGTTCCTGCTCGACGAATGAATCAGAAAACCTCGTCTGATCCGCCAGCATCACTGCTTTTCTCTTCTTAATGATGGCTTCCTTCTTCTTTTCACCTTTCGAGCAGTGCCGCTCCTTCAGTCTCCCAAAGGTAAAACAAAGTAGATCTTTGCTAAGGATACGACCCTGAGGATTCGACGTGTCCTCTATTACAATACTCAAAAGCCAACCAATTCAATCGAGAATGGATGCAGAGTAAATATGGAATGTGGAAAGTCTCATCACACTTTATTTAAAAGAGTCAAAGATGTGGAAAACAAGAGAGTTCAATTAATGAATAATTAATTAATAATAAAAGTGATTTATTTTTTTATTAAATTCTCTTATTATAGCAGTGTCACTTGCAAGAAAAGAATTGGGGAGGTAAAGTATGTACATAAAAAATACGTCGATTTTGATCCTGATGAGATAAAATGTTTCAAAAGAAAAGAGTATAACGAGGGAGGGCCCGTCAACAGAAGATTATGAGGTCGACATTTCCTATCGAGTGAAGCTATCCAAGCCAAAACCAGTGAGGCCAAAGCCGAACGAACCGCGAGACAGACCAAAGACGACCAAAGGATATACGAATAAGTCGATCCATGGAAGATATGGTTCTTTAGCATCTCCAACCACCCCAGAGACATTTAGAGACCCCTCATTAGGGGCCAGGAATCAACGGCCAACTACTGGCCGACTCACAACGACAAAAATTAGCTGACTGAGCTAAATGCATCCAGCCGAGCAAATCTCAACCGACTAAGACAAACCAAATTGAGCTTAGCCGGCCAACCTAGGGAGCAGCCAGAGGATAAGTTCATACATGTAAAATACTAAAAGTACTCTGTGCAACACCCTTTAAAGTATGGAAAAAAAAGTAACATCATGACCTTATACCCTATCCTATAAATAGAGAGATTATTTTAAAAATAAGATACGATTGATATGATATTTTACTGTCCATTTATGTCTCTCTCTCCCTCCATCTCTCTTTCCTTACAATATATTCCTTGGATGTGATTCACGGACAAACCAGGATTCAATATAATATATATATATATATATATATATTATTTTTGAAATTCTTATCGGATGCAAACAAGCAAAATTTGAAGTTTAAGTTAAAGGAACAATTAATTGCCTCTATGCCTTCCTCTAGAATCATAAGACCATATATTTGAGCAGCCCGGTGACTTGCTATTGCTCCCGCATCACAAAGCTTTTTTGAAGACACAAGCTGATTGAGAGAATAATATAAAGCTTAAGATTAGTTTCAATCGAAGGAAATAAGACAGGCTTTCAATTATTCAACATTACCCGGGCAGCTGCAGCAGTACTATCTGTGTTTTCTTGGATGATTTCTAACTTGTTCAGTGCAGCCTCGCATTGTGATAACGCCTGGCGTGCATGAAAGTCATTAAAGTTAAAAAAAAAAAAAGATTTTCAATCTTTTTAAAATATATAACACCCAAACTTTAGTTTTTACATACATACAACCTTACCTATGCATGAAACGGTGTATTTCACTTCTTAAGATTTAAAATGGTGGTATTTGGGTGGTATAAATATAGAACAACAAAGTACATGTAAATAATTATGAATTGGGTGTTATATATGTAAATGCCCTACGAAGATTAACATATATACCACTCAATTCTATATTTTTATAGCATATCTAACACCTATACCACACACACACACACACACACCACATTTCCTATGCATAAAAAAGTGTATTTTACTATTTAAAAGTTAAAAGAGTGGTATTTTTTATGTGATATACAAGAGTAAGGTGGTATAAATGTGTAAACCAAAGTTAAGGTGTTAGACAATGTAAATACATAGGAATTGGGTGGCATATATGTAAATGTCCCAAATGAAAATTTACATACATACGACACGATTCTTATCTATTTACATATCAACACCCAAAATTTGATATCTACAACTATGACATCTTGGTTTCATAACTTGATGCATGAAAATGTGTATTTCACTTTAAAAAAAGTAACACCGGTGGTATTTTTTCATGTGATGTCAAGGATTTGAGTGGCATGCATGTAAAAAATAAACGTTCAAGTGTTTGATATGTAAATACATAAGAATTATGTGATATGTATGTAAATGGTATGAACCTGAGGATGGCTTAACACACGCTTCAGATCCTTCTTTTCCACACCCGGTAAGGCCATTAGGCACTGGCTAACAGCCAATTGAACTTCCCCAACAATATGTAGTTGATGGCGAAGAAGCAGGTCATAATTCCTATGGATGCTTCCAGTTACTGAATTTTCAATTGGAAGAACAGCTTTATCTACTACCCAAGTTTCAAGAGCCTGCATGTCGGAAAGAAACTGGAAATTAGAGATCGCCGTGATCATATTTGTCCAATAAAAACCAATTAGAGCTATTTTTTAACCTCAAAAACGACTTCAAATTGATCATAAGGAACAGTTGCACTGCCAGGATAGGCCTTAAGGGCAGCAACCTCACTAAATGCACCTGGTAGACCCTAATTTTGTGGAAAAGTTAGAGGGTTAGTAGCAGTGTAAAGTAGACAACAAGAGTTGAGAAGTAGTCTTTCTTACCTTATATGCAACTCGAAATTTGGAGTCCTCAACAGAACCCTGGATACAAGTTGAGGATAATGGCTCTGCAATTCAATAACGCTGATATTAGAGCCAAGGAAGATTAAGGATGGATTCATGAAGCATACTTTTTTCAGATTTAGATAGAATTTCTTTTTGTAAAACGTCAAATACATTTCTAGGATGCACCAAATGGTTATTTCAGGTCTTGCTATTAAAAAAACTATATAATTTTTCAAAATAAACAACAAGAAATTTTACAATAAGTTGCAAGATATGTTCATTTAATCCAAATGACATTGCCAACTATATACATAATCTACATTTGACTTTATAGCACTCAGTATTTTCTCTAAGACTTGATATAGAACGATATCATAATAACTTTCATCATATCTAGCATAACATTCAAACGAGTAGGAAATCTATATGTAGTCATGATTTCAATAATGGCTCTACTATCTACAAACCTACACTAGATTCCAAATTCTCATATGTAAGCAAAGCTAGCAAGTATTTCCTAAAAAATGATTTTAATAAGTATACATCAAGTTGTTTCACAATGCTCTATTTAGTTCATTATATAATGAAGTGAATATAGCAATGATAATTTAAGAACTAAATAAATAGCATGACGAATTACATGTTGGCTCCAAAGTAGTGTTTAGAAATTTTAATTCATTACAAGTGGAAAATGAAGCATGAGAATTGGCTAATAAGAAGAGAGTTAATCGAGATATGCCAGTATATTGGGTGCTTTAAAAGGTTTATGCAATGTTGTCTTAGAAAAAGACTATAGAGGCTGAGGTAGCAAGAGAAAAAATCAGTTAAATAAATGCCTTGAAAGCTATGTTTGATGCAAATAACTCGGTATACATCACAAGTCTTTAGAAAGTGGATAATCAGTAAATTATCCTCAGTAAATTAATTGGAAGAATATTTACAATTGTATATATTTATACATATACATGTAAGCCCAGAATGAGAAGGTTTATATTATATTTGCCGTAAGAAATTTCATTATAAGAAAAATGTCAGGTTAAGAAGAAAGCAAGTGATCTAGCTATAAATGAGTTATATAATTAACCTTCTGTTTAGTTTTTGATGATCAAACAAAGTGGAAAGTATGAAGTCTTATTTAAGAATTGATGAACCAAATCTTTTAAGGCTTGGAAAATTGGAGATAACCAAAGATTTAGTTCAAAATCCAATTTACTCAGTAGATGTCTCATTTCTAATGTTTATTTCCTCTACAGATTTCACTAGTTTATGAAAGTTCTTTTTTTTCCATAATTTTCCTTATGTAAAACAATGTTATGATTTATATCGTTGGTGTTGAGAAATTAGGGCCAAGAAAAATAATAATCGGCACAAATCCAGAAGAACACACAGAGATTTAACAATGTTCGGCAAAGATGCATACGTCCTCAGGAGCAAAGCGGCGACTTTCTTTCAATCTCAGAAAAGAAGTACAAAACCCCTTAGGATTACAATAGAGTCTATATATATAGCCCTGAAGTACAATATGTAATTAAAAAATTACCATTGTACCGTACCGCAGGGCGTTGCCCCCGCTCCCCAGATTGGGCAAATTCTTCTGCTCCGCTCCACTCTGCTTCGTTCCAGCATCTGTCATTTATATGATATATGAGTCATACCTAACAAATCTTTACATTGGCAAATATCCAACCCCTTAGGAGAATTACATCATGGAGTTTCTTACACACTGAAGTGGGTTGAGCCACCATCCATCTGTAGCAATTGCAAACATTCAACAAGTTCAAGCAATGCAAGAACTTGTTGATAGTGACTGGCTTATTCAACATATCAGCTGCATTTTCATCAGTATGAACCTTCTGCAACAATATCTCACCAGAAGTAATCAATTCTCTGATCTTATGACATCTGACATCAATATGCTTAGTTCTCGCATGGTACGTCTAGTTCTTAGCCAGATAAATGACACTCTGACTATCACAATGCAACTAAACTTCACTTTGCTCAACACCCAGTTCCTTTACTAGCCCAGCAAGCCATAAGGCTTCTTTTGCAGCTTCAACTACTTTCTTGTACTCAGCTTCAGTTGTAGATAATGTCACAATAGATTAAATTGTTGATTTTCAATATATAGGCGCTCCACCAAAAGTAAACACATACCCAGTTGTAAACCTTCTATCATCTAAATCACCTGTATAGTCTGAATCAACATACCCCACAACTAAAGAATCATTATGCTGACTGCCAAAAATAATTACATGTCCACATGTCCTACAGTATTACATGTCCTACAGTACCCTTTAGATACCTGAAAATTCACTTGATTGTTTTCAAATGTCGCCTTCCAAATTTAGACATGTATTGGCAGACTTAGCTAACAGCGTGAGTCAAATCAGGGCGAGTACATATCATTGCATACATCAAGAAGCCATCTGTACTGGCATATGAAACTTTTGTCATGTCTTCAATTTTTGTATGTCTTAGGACATTGTTCTTAAGAAAACTTAAAATGATTTACTAATGAAGTGCACACAGGCTTTGCTCTGCTCATCTCAAACCAGTCCAACACTTTCTCAACATAGCCTACTTGTGATAAACACAGTTGTCTTGAGTCTCTATCTCCATGAATCTCCATTCCAAGAAGCTTCTTCATAGGACCCAAGTCTTTCATGTCAAATTACTGGCTCAATAAAGCTTTCAAATAACAGACATCATTCATATTCTTTGCAGCAATCAGTATATCGTCAACATAGAGTAACAGAAAAAAAAAAATAAAAACGATCATCAAGACTCTTCACATAAACACAACAATCATACTCATATCGCTTGTAGTCAATCTGAGTCATGTAGGAGTCAAACAGTTTGTATTATTGTCTTGGAGATTGTTTCAACCTATACAGCGATTTATTTAATCTGCAAACCAAATGCTCCTGTCCAGGGTGATTAAACCATTTTAGTGGTCCCTTCTGGCTGCTCCATGTAAATCTGCTCCTCCAAATAACCATGTAAGAAAGCAGTTTTAACATTCATCTGCTCCAAATACAAATCTCAAATAATTACTAATGCAAGTACTGTCCTAATTGAAGTATGTTTGGCCATAAGTGAAAATATTTCATCATAGTATATTCTTTTCTACTGTGAAAATTCCTTTGCTACCAGTCGGACCTTGAACTTTTCTCCTTGTTTTTCTGATACTGCTGGTTTCATTTGTGCATTTACTTGCACCCAATAACCTTCTTTCCCTCAGGAAGCTGAACTAGCTCTCATGTGCAATTTTTCTGCAAAGAATTTTTCTGCAAAGAAAAGATTCTATTTTCTCAACCATTGCACCCATCAATTTTTTTTTCTTCTAGCTGGTTAGATCATCGTTGTTGATGAGAAGTGCATAAGTGATTAAGTTTTCATAACTCAATTTGCTACGAGATCTTCTATTGGTGCGTCTCTGTCTGTCTCTAACTCTCTGGCTAGATTGTAATTCTGCAATTCATCTATATTTGAATCACCAGGTGTTAGTTGAACTTTCAACTTTCTCAATTGTTTTTTAATGTTGTTTTAAATCCATCTGCACTGTATTTAAACTGAAACTATTCTCTTGCACATTTTTTTTATTTTGCTGCAACATGGACTGCTCATCAAAAACTGCATCTCTACTGATCACCAACTTTTTTGCAACTGGATCCCAAAACTCGTATCCTTTCACACCTTTTTTAGAACCCAAAAAGATGCATTTATTAGATTTTGCATCAAGTTTTGATACATGCACATAAGCAAGACAACAAAAAATTCATAAATGATCGAAATTACTAGAATATATATTCATACCTCTTCTGCAACCTTACTACCTAATGATGCCCGAGATGATCTATTGATGAAAAAATATGTCAAATTCATAGCATCTGCCCAAAACTCTTAGGAAGTCATGCATTCAATCTCAGACATCTTGTCTTTTCAGTTAAGGACATGTTCATCCTTTCTGCCACACAATTTTGTTGTGTTGTCTTGCGCACTGAAAAATATCTCTGAATCTCATGTTCCTCACAAAATTTCTGAAATTGTGAATCTATGTACTCCATGTCATTATCAGACCTCAAATATTTGATTTTTCTGTCAGTTTGGTTCTCCACCTCGGCTTTCTACAGCTTGAATTTAAAGAATACTTTAAATTTCTGCTTCAAAAAATATACACAAACTTTTCTAAAGAAATTATCAATAAATGCAATAAAATAAAGAGATCCTCTCAATGACGATTCCCTGGTAGGACCACATACATCTGAATGCATATAATTAAGAATCTCTTCAGTTTTGTGTTTTCTAGTCATAAAACTGACTCTAGTCTGTTTTTCAAGAACACATAATATATAAAGATCGAGCTTGCAGCTTTTAACACCATGCAACAGGTTTCTTCTATGCAATTTCATGATAAGATGGCCCAGACGCATATGTCATATCTTTGTATTATCATTATCTGACTTCACAGAATGAGCTTCACCTACAACTGTACTCCCTAATTGTTTGTAAATATTACCTGCAGTTAACTTTCTTTTCATCACAGTCAGTACGTCCTTAATAATTATGATGGTTTCTCTATCCTCATCTGTCTTAGGAATAAAATCATTTCTATGTATAGTGCCTAAGAAAATCAAATTCTTATTCAGATATGAAATATGTCTGACATCGCATAATGTTCTAACCGTGTCATCATACATCTGAATTCTGACTTCACCAATACCAAAAATATTGCAACATCTATCATCACATAAATAGACTGGGCCAGAATTAGTTAACCTGTATGAAATAAACCACTCCATATTATGTGTTATGTGATAATAGCACCATGAATCAAAAATGCATGCATCTATAAACTGAGTTGATAAAACTGAAAACATATCATCATCGTTGCAATCTGAATTGTTACTCTGTACCACATTTACAAACTTAGATAATGTATCACATTTCTCCTCAATCTGTTTCTTGAGCTTTGGACAATCCCTCTTCATATGACCCGATTTCTTGCACTTGTAGCAATTAATTGTTTTTTTGTCTTTAGACTTTGATCTGAAATTTCGCCTTCCAGAATTCTTTTTCTCTTTCTTTCTTCCATGATCCAACTTACCCTTGACATATAAACTGTCGTCATAAGAGTTTTTCCCTGCATTCTGCTTCCGCTGGTTATGTGCCAACAAATACTGCAGTAATCTCATCAATTTTGATAGTTTTTTTCCTATATGTAAGAGTACTCATCAGATGTTCATAGGAATAAGGCAATGAACTCAACAAAATCATTGTTCAATCTTCATCCTCAATACTCACATCAAACCGTGACAAATCTGTGATAATTTGATTTAAGTCATTCACGTGCTATGTCAGATCAGAACCTTCTTGGATATTCAGCCAGTACAGATTTCGTTTCAGATACAATTTATTATTCAGAAATTTAGACAAACTGAGTTTCTGATTTTTTTATATCTTTCTTGGAGATTTCATATTCATCACGTGATACATAACCTCATCTGTCAGACATAGGCGTATGGTTGTTGTCGCTCGTTGTTGCAATTTTTCTCAATCTTTATCTTTCATGGCATCTGATTTTATTGTCCGCAAAGCCTTCAAGATTCTTTGTTGTGTCAGCAAATCTTTCATATTTGTTTGTCATAATTCAAAGTTACTAGCATCATCGAACTTCACCACCTGATTTTCTCGCCCAAATTATTCTTACAAATCCTTCTCTATTCAGAAGAATCCCTCGCAGAGCCCCATGCCTACGAAAAGTGCTTCCTGACAAATCTGTCATAATTTGATTTAAGTCATTCAGGTGCTATGTCAGATCAGAATCTTCTTGGATATTCAGCCCGTACAGATTTCGTTTCAGATACAATTTATTATTCAGAAATTTAGACAAACTGAGTTTCCGATTTTTTTATATTTTCCTTGGAGATTTCATATTCATCTCGTGATACATAACTTCATCTGTCAGACATAGGCGTATGGTTGTTGTCGCTCGTTGTTGTAATTTTTTTCAATTTTTATCTTCTATGGCATCTAATTTTATTGTCCGCAAAACCTTCAAGATTCTCTGTTATGCCAGCAAATATTTCATATTTGTTTGTCATAATTCAAAGTTACTAGTATCATCGAACTTCACCACCTGATTTTCTCTCACAAATTATTCTTACAAATCCTTTCTCTGTTCAGAAAAATCCCTCGCGGAGCCCCATGCCTACGAAAAGTGCTTCCTGAATCCTGTTTCCGAACTATGTCGCCATTCACAGGAACTACTTGCGTCGCACAAATCCTTCGTCGGAAGCCCTCCTCTGAGTCGCTCGACTTCGTCGAAACCCGTCGCCCTGCTTCGCCTACTTCGCCGGTCGCTGGAACTCATCCCGATCTCCTCTGCGAAACTGCGCCGCCTCCTCCCGCTCGCGAGCTTCGCCGAACCACAGAAACCTCGCACAAACGTCCTCTGGCGCCATTCGGAGAAGCTGTTCCGTCCAAACTCCTTCGCCGAATACCCTATGCGGAAATCGCTAAATATGCGCCGCTCTTATTCTCCGATCTTTTGTCGTCCGAACTACCCGAAGCCCTAAATCTCCGAATCAGCCAAAATTTTTCTTCCACGTGGAACCAAAACCAATTGATGAAAAATTAGCGTGAAATACCTAACCCTTGGATAGTCCTTAATATTTGTCATATTATTATGAATCATGTTTGCAATGCTATGTTGGTATAGAATTTCATAAAATCATAATCATTTTAAGGTTTATGTCTACTAAGAAACATGTAAATGTATGCTTATGAAATTTCGTTACTCTAAAATCCATGCCTATGATGATAAATGTCAGGTTACTCCTACAACCATGATTCCATTTGCTATATATTATGTTTTTGAATATTGAACTATTGCTTAGATTATGAAATGCAATTCCAAATCAATTTCCCTTGCAGAAAACTATTGAATGAAAATAGGTATGCAAGAAAGATCTTATATATATATATATATATTTCAATGTACATGGACTTCACGATAGTAGATGAAAAATCGAATGTGTCGACGCATTATGACTCCCTCATCATTATAAACAATAGATATATGAACAATATCTTGGTTGTGTGAACAGTTTATGTATTGGTTAATGGTGAGTCAGATCTACAACAAACTACTACTACTATAGTGTTATAGCTCTTGCGATGAAATATTTTCATCGTTACCTTCAGATGCAAGAGATATGTTACATTAAGCTATGTTTTATGTAATAAAATTCAAATTATAAAATTATAGTATAATTTATGTGTATGATATCAATTTTTTAATCATTTCATAGTCCAATACAATGATGTCAATGTTGTGCCAACTTATATAACCACTCTACAGCCCATGGTTATGATAACTATGATTTTCATGCTAAGAATACACTATTGTCATGACTATAATTCTAATGGTATGATTGTGTTAATGCTTATGAGTTCCTATTGCTATGTATATGATGTCAAATGTCAAGTTAATTACTATCTTTTGGCATTAAATGCTAAGCCAAACTTTTAGCTAAGTGATAATGATTTGACATCAAAATGTTTGGTCATTTACTATGCTTTTACATTAATAATGCATGCTTCACTCGAGACTATAGTTTAATTTCCCATTGATTTCATTAAGCATATGTATTTAAAGTTATAAAATGATCACATTATTAGAAAGTATATGCGCAAATCTATACTTCTTTGCTTAAATGCTCAAACAAGAGTGTACAAGTAACTTGTGAAATTTGGTTAGGTTATGAACTTTAATTTAAATAAAAAAATAAATAACAAGTTCACCATTAAAGTTTTTTAAATAAAATAAAGAGGTACAACACAAAGCATCACTGAAAATCTTTCTACTGAGTGGCTGAAATTGCCGATGTAATATTATTATATCTCCATATGTTAATTATGAGATTCAATGACATTTGCAAATAACAATTTTAAAAATGATATTGAAAATCTTATTATAATGATATCAAGATGTAATAAAATGTAGTCTATCTAATATCTAAAACACACTCACAATTGTTCTTCCTATAAAATATTATATTATTTAATAAATAAAAATTTTGCTTTAGAAGGGCTCATTATACCATTTACACACAGAAACAATACATTCAAATGGTGATATTTTTTCATGCGGATATATTTTTTTGGAATATAGGAGGAAAAATATCACATTCAAGAAAAAAAAATAGTTTTATACTTTCTTCATAAACAAACTACATTTAAGCTTAATTTTTACCTGGCAGATGAACCAAATCCATGTTCTTCTTCCACTTATCACTCGAAATTTCCATTGACAACCGGCTCTGCTGCTGCCGCAAAGAAGAGGAAGAAGAAGAAGAAGAAGAAGATGCATTCCTGTCGCCGGCCGCCATGAAGCAAACTCGCCGCCGCACAAATGGAGCATCCAGAACCCATGGGATCCTCAGATCTCTTTTGACCATGGAGCGGAATCCACACGGTGCCGTCAAAGCCATCACCATTCCTCCTTCTTCCTCTTTCCCGGAACAGACCAAGATTATAGCATGAGAGGAACTGAAAAGAGAATGAGAAGACAATACATACTGATAATGTTTCCTTTAAGGCCATTGCACAAACGGTTGGTGGGCGGAGTATAGCAGGCTAATTTGGCTCATCCCAAAAGCTACCACTTAGCACTTCCTCCGGGAGCTGAATTCCGCTTTAGCTTCCGTAGAATGCGAATGGCGAAATAGGTGGTGACCGGTGAGGCTTTTTTTTTCTTAATTCTTTATTTTTATTACATACATACATACATACATACATACATACATACATATATATATATTTCGTGAAAACGAAAGGTAAAAAGAAAAGCTTAAGATTGATGCAGACTGCAATAATTCTATAATAAATCTATACAATTTTCTATTTTTTTTTATTTCAAAGAGGAATGAGATTAACGTGCCAAAATATAGTAAGTTTTAATTTAAGAGTTTATAAAAGTATCAAAAATAAATAAATCATTATTTTAAAATTGAGTTATAGTAGTCTTCCATGTGAACTATTTCAATCTAAATTAAAAAAATCTGACGACTATTTTGATGCTTCTATAAACTCTAGTATTAGTCGGGGACTATGTCAACAATTTATTCTTACAAAAAAAGACTCATGTAAATAATTAAGGAGTATTTTTGCAAGCTATTCTTGCAAAAAGTTACTAGAGTGCATTGTAGGTTGTGTGGGATAAGAAAAAGGAGTTCTCCCAAGAGCCCTAGTGAAATTTTTCATAATAATAGTTAGCACATTGTGTTTTATGCATCAAATTAATATAGAAAATTTTTATTTTCTTAACCTAATAATATACATAATATGTCCATGATAATTTTATTTAGGGACATATGAGTGATTTTTTTTTCAATCAAAAGTATTATTGCTAAATACGAGTCAAAGTTTCTCATAGTCCTTGTTAAGTTAAGTTTGCATAAACATTTTAGACCGCTCCATATGATTGCATATGCAATGGATGGTCTTCTTTTTAGGATTTATTTATGATAACCTTCTGCCTGTTTTGTGTTTCAAATCACCACATATTTGTTTGAGGAATTGTTTTGTTGTTGCCTTCTAGAAGTTATTGTGGTAGAAAACTGTTTTTTTTTCTTCAATTCAATATGTTAAAATGTGATGACTGAAGGAAAATTGTTATCTGATTGTCTGATTTTATTGAAAAAAGACATATTTTTTTAATTATTATCGTAGTTTTCTAAGAAGTTAATTCCCCACCATAACTTTGTTTTTTTTTTCAATTCAATATGTTAAAATGTGAGGACTGAAGGAAAATTATTGTCTGATTTTATTGAAAAAAGATATATTTTTTCTTAATTTTATCATAGTTTTCTAAGAAGTTAATTCCCCACCATAACTTTACAACGATCTTTTTAAATAACCAAAGCCACCCTAAACAAACTCTGGTCAGCTTTCATGCATCATTTTTTACTTGTAATGAATTTAAATTTTTTGAACTCAACTTTGAAGTCATTATATAACATAATCAAAAAAATTTGTGTGTATTCTTTTAGTTATATAGCTTAATTTAAACCTTGTATTAGTCCAATAAGAAACACTTATACATCTAGATAGATGGCTAGATAGCTTAATACAAATTTATACATATCTTTTGCACATGCAGATTAAACTGCACTCAATTAATTAACCCACTAATATTGAAAGATATCTATAGATGAATCATATAAAACCTATTTAAGGCTAAGATATTTTCTAATCCCAATTATAAATCCAGTGTTCTGCCTAGTTTTGATCTAGTTGATGAATGACATGCAACCCTTGATCCTTCTTTAATTGACAAAAAAAATATTTAATTATTTTTATAGTCTTGCAGTTGATATAGTTTTGTCTAGAGGTATTAATGGCTTTTTATGGGTGCAAGCCTCCTTATGTAATTTCACTTTTGATGATGAAAAGCACTTTCATTTATGATAGTTTAAGGTATCTCATAATGTGTCAAAATAATGACTCTTCGTGTAAAGGGAAAAATGACTAATCCTTGTGCTTGGAACATATATGGCTGTGGTGTTCTTGTTCCTATGTATAAGCATAAACGAGCTAAGCATTAGCGAAGTGTTGCTTCACTCAACTAATTCAACAAGTTAGCCCTGGGAAAACATGAATCTCGATTCAGGGGTAAGCAGTCCGACAAGTAAGTTGGGTCTCCAACTCAAAATTAGTCAAGACCAGTCAATGAAACTAAGTCAAGTTACTCACAAAATTGATGCTTGGGTTAGGAGATAAGCTCAGAATCTCACTAAACTGCCTAATCAAGTGGTGAACCAACTGACATTAAATTTGAATAAAAGGTATTCGCAGAATCAGCCGAACGAAGAATTATCTATCACCTACCAAGCGAAGCAAGCGAACCAAGGTTTAGAAGAAGTCACAGATAAGATCGACCAAGAAGCTGTCATATTACCCTCTCGTGATTCGGTTCATTAGAAACGAATGAACAAAGATGAGCAAACGAGCAGAGGGTCACCACCGTCAGCAAATATTTATTTTACTTGTTTTGATGTATCAGATAATTGACGTTATAAACCTTCATTTCCTTCATACATAGTGGGAGCATAAAGATAAATGTGTGCTAGTATATCCCCTAAACCTATAAATATGAAAGCTCATTTTTACTATTCATTCCTTATCATATTATCTGCACTTTGTTCCTCGGGAAGGATTTGGGAAATTTTTTGGTTAAACACCCTAAAAGTTTCGGTAAACGTGGAATTTATGCCTCCAACAGGAAGAGAAGCATAGCACAGCGGCAATGCAACCACTCGATAGACACAGAACCAGACCGAAGAGATCGATAGTACGAGGGAGATAGTCCGACAACAAGTAATCAGAAGAAAGAACTAGTATTGAAAATGAGAGAACATATGGTGATGCCCTCCAAGAAGCCTTAGCTAGGGGGTCAAAACCCACAAAACAATAATCCCCATAAATATAGTCGCACAAAATCAAACAACAGGTGGGATAGACCGGTGTTTAATGGTTGATAATCCCAACCAAAGGAAGACGGATGCCACAACTCCCATTACCAAGGTATTGTTGGATCAGCCCCAGTAGAAAGATATCGCACCATACGGACCACAGCCCCCCCGCCCACGGGGAATACCTTTTCCAAACAGATCTCCAAAGCTGAACCACCCCAAAAGTTTAAGACCCCCAACCTCAATTCATATAAAGGTATCATATTATTATTGGGGTTCTTCTAGAGGGAAATTATGATGATATGCTTTTGTGACATATACAAACTTGGTACTATGTCATTTAAAGTAAACCAATATCCCCTTTCTTTAAGGTTTTTTATCTTCTTATAATGAATGATTATTCATATGTTTATCTTTGCTATATGACCTCATAGTTTTATAAATCATTAATTATGTATTTCTTTTATCCTAATTAGTTAATTTTTTATATAATTGTATTGTTGTACTTTTAAGTCAAGCTAATTTTATGTTTGTGATTTTCAACTTTTAGAAAATATGAGCTCGGGGACTTCCGGTGTCTCTAAAGACTTGTATTATAACTGCAGAATGCAGTGTTCTCTACTTATATCACAAAGAGAGAATAACATTGAGAGAAACTTTTACAAGTTTTCAAGAGAAAATATCAATAGAGAATTGTGACGGCTTTAGGTGGACATATTAGTGTCGGCACTATTTTTGGTGTGGGGTTTGCCCGTAAGAAGCTGTCGGTCATCGGAATTGAAATCCCGTTGCCCGCTTCGGAAGGACGTTTTAAAAAAATTAGTTTTGAAAAAGATGAAGTCAAACTGACCCCATAATTTTCATAGTTTAGATGAAAGAGCACTTTATCTCAAATCCTGTATCTATCTCGAAGGATGAACACAAGAATTGAGGGGGAGGCTCGATCAAATAAACTAAAGAAAGTTATGACAAAAAAAAAAACTGACACAAATCTTTGTCGTAGCAGCCACCCCATACAAATATTACCACTCTTGACAGAATCTACACAATGTTCTTTTGAAAAATATTAAATTTATTTTCGTCGTCCTTTATCACATAGTTTGACAAAATTACATCTTTTGTTGTGATACATGACCCTTCTTCACTGATGGTGAAACCTCGGCTATACCGCCAGTGACAACTACAAATGTAGCTAATGGGATGACAGAGGCTTTTCTTTCATTTCTAGGAAAGATCTCATCTTGATCATATCCTACACCTAAATTTACATGCTTACCACCCAATTTCTATGTATTTTCAAATCTAACACCTAAATTTTATTTTTCACATTTTAATACCACATAAATCTTATATGATTTTAAAAATACAACAAATTTATAGATTTAAAAAGTGAAATATATGCTCCCATCCACGCATAACACGTGCTAATAAAAACAAATCGAAGTTCGGGTGTTAGACATATAAATATATAGAATTTCAGTGATTTTTATGCAAATCTTTGTACTAAATATATATTTTATTGTTTCTAAAAGAAGTTGTACGGTGGTAAGGTTTGAGCATAACTCGTTGCATGCTAAATATAGACTATTTTTAAGACTACATAATCTGAAGTCCCAGTTTATCTTTATTAGCTCTAAACTCTTAGATTTTTGGAATTGACCTGATTTAGTATATGGATGGATTTAGTATCCGACAAATCTTCTTATCATGTCCCCATCCTTTTCAAATTATTAAAATTATTTATATTAATTAAATAAAATATATTACTGAAAGGTTTAAATTAATTTTATATTCATAGAATTAATCATTTTTTAGATTCTCAACGAATTACAGTTCAATACAAAACTTGAATTGCATCGAGCTCGAGTGGCTTAAAGAGGGCACGCCCAGGATGCAACACTGTCATGCTAAGAAGAGCTAACACAAGTGCGCTAGCAACGCGACTTGGGTGCACCGGCCTCTCGGAGCAGGTATGCCTAGTACTCTGTTCTTTAAAGTTGGGGCAGTGTCACGCTGGTAAGGATGTGCCGACCTACTAGCATGGGTGCATCTGGTGTTAGCATGACATGGGTGTGCCAGAGCCTAAGAGCGGGTGCCTTAAGCACGCATTGGGGAACTCAAAGTGGACATTTATAAGCTATTTGATACCACATATGAAAAAAATATGATCTCATAGGGTCAAGAGAATGCCCCAAACATGTAACATCAAAAGTCGATGGCAATAGGAAGAAGTGGATTGATTTCCTAAAT